ATGATCTACTGAGAATTTATGCTTTTGAGTGAAGAGATACAGTGAAGAAGTAGAAGAAGTAGATGCTGTAGCAGCAACAGAGAAGCAAGAACCTGACATTTTTTGTACCGAAGAACCAGTTCGGGGTGATGCTTCCATGGTCCTACCATTGTTGGGCTTGAAACACAATTTTATTTTTGAAGATTTCTTGTTTGATTCAAAGTGGGTGCTGTTAAATATTGCTTATAGTACCTTCTGAAATTTCATACTGAAATTTGATAGCGTTTGGAGCTGATTTGAGGTGATTGAGATCGAATTTTCAGTTGAAAATCGAAGAAGAACACAGCTACAATATACCGCTACGGTATACAATATGTTGTAGGAGTATATAGCTATACTGCAACACTATACTATTATAATTTACAAAACAGTATACCGCTACAGTACACTAATATACTATAGGAGTATATAGTTATACTGCAACAGTATACTATTATAGTATACAATATATTGTTATGGTATACTGTAATAATATGCAAGGTACTGTAACAATATGATGTAATAGTATACAATATACTATAATAGTATACTTATTACCCGTAAATTCACTTGTCTTTTCCCTTTTAATTTGTTTTAAGCTTTTACCCAAGCGTGAGGGGCAAACTGAAAATGCAAAAAATAAGTAAAAATAAATAATAGTATGCTATATGATGTAATGGTATACTCTTACAATTAGGTCCTTTTAGAATTTTAATTTTTTTTTACAACTGATATTATTTCAGTTTAATAATTGAATTAAATTTTTTAACTCTTTGCGTACAATTGTATACCTTGTTGGTATAGCTATATACTATACCGGTATCATATTTTAGTTAATACTTTTTTGGTTGTATTAACTACATTTAATTGGTAAACAATTTCATTTTTCTTTAGTAATAATATAAAAAAAAAGAATAATAAAAAATAATGAAAACAGTAAATGAAATTAGATTATGAAGAGAAAAAGAATATAAAAAAACAGAAGTTAAATAAAATTAGAAAAGGAAAAAAGAAAAAAAATAAGAAGAAAACGAGAAAAAAAAAGGACAAAAGAAAAAAAAAGAAAAAAGAAAAGAAAAGAAGCATAGTAATAAAAAAGAATTGGAGAATAAAGAAAAAAATTCCCCACAAAACCTACTATGGGTAGGAAATGTAATTAGTTTATGGGTAGGAAAATAAATGGGTAGACAAGGGTAAATAGTTTGGGGTTTTGACACAGTTACCAACAAAAACAAAACTATTTACCCTTGCCGGGATTCCTATTCTTGTTTTGTTTATTCCCTTCTTATTTGTGATTGTTGTTTGGGTGAGGAAGAGTGTTAAAGCACGAAGGGTGATACCGTACAATGTTTGTTTATTGTGAGGAAGGAGTGTAAAGCACGAAGGGTGATGCCGTACCGCACGATGTACCATACCGTGCCAATTCTATTGATTATATGTGAGGAAAGAGAGTAAAAGCACGAAGGGTGATGCCGTGCACATTTTATCATATATTCGCTTTGGTGAGGAAAGAGTATTAAAGCACGAAGGGTGATGCCGTGCACGTGTTATTATATCATTGCTTGGTGAGGACGAGAGTAAAAACACGAAGGGTAATGCCGTGCACTTGTTGATTTCTGATTCCTTATTGATGTTTGCGTTATATTGCCTCTTTCGTTACTTGATGACTTTTAGTCAAATGTTGCTATCTTCCCCACAGCATGCTCCCCCTCCCATATTGGTTGATTATCTGTGTATCTCTGTTCCACTGTATATGTAAATATAACTGCACAAGTTTATGTGGTAGTCTGATCTAGCCTCGTCACTACATCGCCGGGGTTAGGCTAGGCACTTACCAGCATATGGGGTCGGTTGTGCTGATACTACACTCTGTGCTCTTTTGCACAGATCCAGGTACCGAACAGCAACAGTAGTTCGGGAGCTAGTCTTCAGTCCACAAGATTCCCGAGGTAGTCCTGCAGGCGTCCGCAGGCCCGGCATCTACTCTATCTTTATTTATGATCTGTTTCCTTTTGTATCCGAGACAAGACTTTATTCCTTATTTTAGACAGTTGTATGTAGCACTCTTAGATAGTCCGTGAATGTTGTGACACCAGTCCTGGGTAGAGACATATGTGGATTTTCCTTGTTATTCTGGTTTACTTCGTTAAGTCTTCCGCTAAATTATGAATTCCGCTGTTGTTTAATTATTTATCTCATGTTAGTTTAATTGGTAAACTTGGATTTAAAACAAAAGTATTGTGGATTTTAAATGTGTGGCTTGCCTAGCTTCTACGAGTAGGCGCCATCACGATCCCACAGGGTGGAAAATTCGGATCGCGACACTCCGCTTTGCCTCTTCTTCCCTTGCATCCCTTTCTTGAAGATACAACTCGGTAATCTTCACTACCTTTCTATTCAATTCCTCAAACTCATCCAGATCAATCGAGCAATGTGAGGAAGAATAAGAACTAGACAATCCAGAAGTACGATGACCGAGACTAAACTCTGATCCAAGGCCATAGACTCTCCCCTTATGCACGCCACCAGCTGCCTTAATCCACATGTTCACGATCTCCTCTTGGAATGGTTGGATTGGCCTACCTTGATCATCAATCGGCTGACTTTGAATGAACCCCTCCAAGCTTCGTTTGAAAGTATCCTATAAAAAATTACAATTATTATAAACAAAACGAATATGTATTACGTATTCAAATTCGTTGGAACGAGAGGAGAAAAAAAGAAAAGAAATAGAAACCAATTCTTTTAGATACCTTATCCAACAAACTATACCAATCAAGAACATAGAGGGGATATATCTCGCCAAACTAGATAAAACTATTATTATAATCTAGACTCCAAAAGAACATGCATGTTGATTCATACTAATTAATTTCTCCGAGGAAAGCAACGGAAATAATTGACGGAGAACACTCTGGTGCTAATCAAACAGAAGAAAGAAAAATTGCAGCTATGTATGCACATGAAGCAGCCTTTACATTTAAAAAGAATAATAACTTTCAGGTAACGCTGTATGGTGGGCCGGTCTGGGACCGGGACCGGACCGGGCCCGCGGTCTTAACGGGCTAAACGGTCCCGACGGGCTGGTCCCTGATGGTGTAGAAAGCCCGTGGCGGGCTGGTCTCTTGCGTGAGGCCCGCTAAGCCCGGGACCGGCAGGCGGTCCTGGGCCAGTTCAACCGGGCCTAACGGTCCTAACGGGCTCCAACGGCTCTTTTCTAAAAAAAAAATTTTTTTTTTTAAAAAGACCAACGGTCAGATTTTAAAATCTAGCCGTTGGCCTTTAATTTTCAACCGTTTGGAACTTTAAAAAATAGTTATTTTAACCTCAAACTTTATATAATTACACTTTTTTTCAATTCTCAACTATAAATATCCACTCATTCTTTCTACTCGTCAATTCATCAATCTATCTCAATCTCTCTCAATCTCTCTCAATCTATATCTAATTTCTCTTCTATAATTGCTTATTTTATTATTGCAATTTCGTGAAAAATTGTGAAGTTGGTGAATTGAAGTATTCAAGTCTTCAAGTCTTCAACGATTTTCAATTTTCAAGAAGTTGTTCGGCAATTCGGTAAACTCGTTCCAACTCTTAAGTTTTAAGAATATATTTTTGTGTGTTTAGTTTGCATAATTATAATTAATATGGCATTTTCTTTGAAAAAAATGTTTGGTGGTAAGGGAAAAGCTAAAATTGGTGAAAGTAGTCTCCAACCTACTACCCTTCCCCCGGCTCCCCGACCCAGACCTATTACCCGTCCTGCTGCTCCTATTATTCTTGATAGTGATAACCCTTGTTTTCAATTTTCCGATAGTGAATTTTGCCATAATGTTGCACAAGGTGAACAATTAAATGAAGAAGTTATGAATGCTCTTTATCCTAATCAAACTATCTTAGAAAATGATGAGGAAAATGAGGATGTAGATGAAACCCAACCGGATTTAGATGATTCACCTACTAGTCATGTTAATAACCCAACTGATGCCCCGCCCGACCCACCTGTAGAAACCCCTACTTTTAATAGACAACCTTCTAAACGCCTAGAAACATCATTAGTTTGGAATTTTTTTACTCAAATAAGAGAACAAAATAAGGCTAGGTGTAAAACTTGTGGGAAATTGCTGGCGCATAAATATACTGGAGACCCTAGCGGTGCGGGTAGTTTGGCTAGGCACATACAAACACACCCTAGAAATAAAGTTAAATATTTACAAATGAATCAGAGAGCGCTTTCAGTCAAGCAAGACATCAAATAAGTGATCATAGAGCATCTATGAGGGAGAGCTTGGAAAAATCAGTACTATTCAGAGATTGGATCCGCTCGGAAAGAAGAAACTTTGGACTTGCAGAATCACAACCGGATATAGACGAAGCTTATGAAGAAATGATAGCGGAACTTGCGGAGGATGTTGCTTCGCCCGGAAGCGGTGATGAACAAGCTTCTTTTCTGCCACCACCAACGGAACCTCCTCCGAACCTTGAAGGATTTATGAGATTTGTTAGAGATACAATGTAGGTTATGGTGTAACTTGTACTTTGGCATATCTTCTTTAGTTTTTTTTCCTTTTAATGGTGGTATTAGTACCTTGTTGTGCTCATTCCAATGTTGGAAAGAAGACTAAGAAAGATATGTCATTTTTGGTAACAAAAATTATAAGACATGCCCTTGAATATCTCTTTGCAATATTTTTTTGTCTTTAACTTGCAATTATTTATAAGCTATACAAGAAAATATATAAGGGAATATATATATACATAACATACAATATATACTACAAGAAAATATATAAGGGAATATATATACATAACATACTATATATACTACAAGAAAATATATAAGGGAATATATATACATAACATACAATATATACTACAACAAAATATATAAGGGAATATATATACATAACATACAATATATACTACAAGAAAATATATAAGGGAATATATATACATAACATACAATATATACTATAAGAAAATACTAGTATACTATATATATTATATATACTTGAAGAAGTAGTACTATATATACTACAAAACAAGATTTTTCAAAATGAGGGCCCCACCCCCAATGACCACCAACGGTCATATTGCACAAATAGCCGTTTTTTTTTTTCAATTTACAAAACTAACCTTCTCTAACACTATAAATACCCCCCTCCCTCTTCTTCATTTCAATACTCAATACTCATTTCTCAATCTAAATTTCTCTCAATCTCTCAATCTCCAATTTTCAAGACTTCAAGTCTCAATCTCAATTTTCAAGTTAAATCATGCCTCGTTCGGAAAGAGTGCGCTTATTTGTTTCGCAATACTATGAAGTGCTTGAAGAAAATGAAGAAGGCCAAATATTAAAGTGCAAGAACTATGGAAGAGTCTTAAATTTTCGTTCAGGGTGCACCACAGGCATTTTAAGGAGGCATATAAAGTATTGTGTTGAGGGTATTTATCCGCAAATTCGTCTTTAAGATTTTTCAACAATTTGTGTTATTCTAAAATTATTAGACGTATTTATGCTTCATGTTGTACTTTGTTATTAATTTATTATGCATGCCAATTTAGTTTTACTATTGATTTGTTATTTTACATTTTCGTCAAACACTATAATAATTAGATTTCTATATTATATATACTACATATATTTATATAGCCATGCATAAGAGCAATTTATATATATACATACACATATGGTTTACAAGAAATTGCCTTAAATAAAAAAATTAAAAAAAAAGCCCGGAAATAAAAAAGCCCGTTAGGCCCGCTAAGCCCACGAGCCCGGCCCATTTAGCCCAGGACCATATGGGCTTAGGCCCATCACGGCTGGTCCTACCCTTTGAGCCCACGAAGCCCGGGACCGCTAAGCCCAGGCCCGTTTAGGCCCGGCCCGTTTAGCCCATTTAGGCCCGGGCCCGGCCCACCATACAGCCCTACTTTCAGGATAACTTGATACATAAAAAAACAAAAAATAAACAAACAAATAGTACTCATTAATACCCCCCCCCCCCCCTCTCTTTTCTGTCTTTTCATACAACAATTTGTTGGCAAATTAAAGAATGGCTTTGCTAGTGTTGCTTCTGGAAGCACTAATTGTCAGATCTCATGAGGAAATCAATTTGCAAGGAAGAGATGATGTGTTGTTTTTTGATGATGGAGAAGCAGGCAACAATAATAGTAACACTAGTTTGGTTTCTGGCAACAAGGATTACTATTACTATTGTGGGCGGGTATTTGAGGCTGATGAAAAATGAAAATCGTGTATGAAAGGAAAATAGGCTTAAAACCGACCACTATACAATCATGGCATGCTCGAGTAAGGAGGAGAAATTTCATCTTAATCTCTGTTAATGTATCATGTTCCTTACATCAAACAAAATTCAACAGCCACAAAATTCAACAGCCTAAGATGGAGATCTTCTGATATCCATAAATTCCACAATGCACGCTCGCAAAAAGGGCCACATTAAAGAGAATAAGGAGCATCCACAGGGATTCCTTTAAATCTTCTCTGTCTATAATAATGAAATAAAAAGTAAATAAATTTTTTTACATACAATCAGTTAGACTCAGAATGTATCAATCGGGTCAAGTAACATTATAGTAATGTTAAGGGTGACTTACCAAAGAGCATTCAAGAGATTAATGGACCTTAGGTAATGGATATAGTAATCTGGAATTAGTTAATGGACCTTTCTCAAATTACCTTGAACTGTTCCTTTTCTTAAGAGTACACGAATCTTATTCCACTCTAATTACAATCAAATGATATGATTAGAAGTTTGAAATCCTTAGCAAGAAAGATGTACCATAGAGGGACAAATACCATCCATCCAAGTCTTCAGTACAATGTAATCATTTTCCACCTTATTTTGGCTGAGTCCTACAGTTTCCTAGAATGTAAGATTAAAAAGTTATATAGTTTTTACTTCCAACAGAAATATGTTGCACACCAAGCATGACTGTGAGACTTGGTCATAAAATGCAAAAGCAATTTATGTCCACCTAGTCACTGACAAGATAAAGCAGGCAACAAGATTAACTCACAGTGCATAGAAGCTCTGTTTTCCATTTTAAATTTCAATATTCTGATGCATATAAGTTTAGTATTGCTCAACAATATTCTGATACAAACGGAGAGTAACAAGCTAGTTTAAAATAAAGCTCATTAATCTTACATGGGTTGTCTTAGCGCGCGGCTCGACCCAAGTCATTTTTGTTCCATCCTTCAACTTCTTCACGTGGGTTTCCTCAAATACTTCATAAGTAACTAGTCTTCCTTTAGTCTTTTCCTGAAAAATAAATAATATTTTAGAAAATGGTAGCTAAAGTAGTTATAAATCAAGAAAAATATAATAAAGACATTACCAATCTTCTTCTATGAGTCGCCATACTAATTGCTTCACATTCAATCTTCATCTTAGTTTTTATAACCACCCACCATTCAGTCTTATTTTTACATGATGACGGATAAGGAGCGTAATACACTTGCTTCACATTTTGTGCAATGATAAATGGATCATATCTTGCATACTTCCTCGTGTGATCAACTTCAACTATTTCATACTGTTGGCATACCTTTGTACCTTTATTTGGTGGTGGATCACACCACTTGCATCAAAAAGTGCTTTGCCTCATCATTGGGAGACTCATCAATATTTTGTTGGGATTGAACTCCTGGATGTATCCCAAAAGCATTCGACACCATTTCATGCATTTGAGATTTTTCATAATTATTCTCAAAGAATGTACTACTCTCACAACCAGTAAGATTCTGTAAGTCAACATCAGCTAAATTACTAGAATTCTCTCCATGAACCGTCCACACATAGTAATTTTCTCTAAACCCCTTTCTATAAAGATGAACTTTAACATCCTCAGGTATCAACAACTTTATACAATTGCACTTAGCACAAAGACACCTAATTGTTCCTTCATTACAGAATTCAGGAAGTGTTTTTGCATAAGCAATAAATCCTTTAACACCTTCTGCAAATTACTCCTTTAATCCCCCACGATTAGGATGATTTCTATCGTACATCCATTTACGATCTTGTTCCATCTATTACACAATAACAAGACAAAATAATTAAATAAAGAAGTGAATAAAGAAAAGGAGAACTTTATCATAATAGTTTAACATTTATACTCTTAGGAAAAAAAAGATTCATTTTTAGGAAATTCTAATGTTTGGTTGATAATATAGAGTGTTTTTCAACTAAGCATTTACCATCAAATGGTGGAAAATAACTTCTTTCAAGTTGTTTGCCTTATAACTATCTAAACCTTAACCTTCATATTGTTTTTTATGCTTTATATAATTATTAGTAATCTTTCAAGTTGTTTTATGTTGCTCAATCTTGTTATTTTGTTAAGTCTTTGGCAGTCAAATAGATTTGAAGACAAGTCTGAACTTCAATTCCAATGACAGAAGGCCTTTTGACAATCGCATTCTCATTAAATTTGTCAGTACATAAATATGAATAGAATTCATATTGTCCACTATTTTCTATTGTCCATCTCATAATATTATCCATATTGTCTATCCCATTTTTGTCCCTTTCCCATGAAACTGCTGTAACAAAAATTAACCAATGTTTTAGCATCTCAACTATATAGTTTCTATCTATGATTAACTTAACTTAACATAGTGTAAACACCCGGTGCGTGTAAGTTTTTTCCTCCACCCAACTCTCAAAGCTATATTTTCTGTATCTCTATTTGTAATGCCAAAAAATATTGCTCCTTTCTGCAAACTCCCCAAAACCCCATAAACCAAAACACATGCCTCTCCATAACTTTGCTTATATTAACCAACACAGCACACCCTACTTCTTCCCTCTTCCTACTCGTCAACTTTCTTCAATTTCCCAACTACTCTGTATTCTTTTTATGTTTACTTGATCTGGGTATTTCAAGAAACTAGCCAAAGATGATAACTTTATCTGATTTCTATCATGTTATGACTGTTGTTGTGCCACATTATGTGGCCATGATATTAGCTTATGGTTCTGTTAAATGGTAGAAGATTTCTCCCCTGACTAGTGTTCTGGTATTAACAGATTTGTTGCACTTTTCGTAGTTCCACTTCTCTCTTTCCACTTTATAGCTGGTAATAATCCTTATATAATGAACATACCAAATTCAAAATATCCCACCATTCGACACTCTAATCTCCATCCAATCAAGAAATTAATTCAAAATATAGTGCCTTAAGAAACATGATTTTAACTTACCAAATTCTCAGCACCAGGAAGGTTTCCGTTTTTGGCAAGATTGACAGCAAGCTCAAGATTATTCAACTGCAACAAAATTAATACAAAATTTTATGTCTTTCATGGTCATAGATTACCAAATTTTACAGTACTGAAAATGCATCTACAGAAATATACATGACACCAGAAATCGAGAAAGAGGGCAACTTGATTCACTTCACATTGATTATTTTAAACCTAGGGTTTGAAATAGTATAAAATCCCCAAGTTTCAAAGTACTTTGGGCGAAATCAACAACGAAAAAGGAGATGGTGAGTGCGAGAGAGAGATAGAGAGAGGGGAGGGGGGGGGGGGGAGGGAGGCGTCGAATTACCTGGTAATGGAGTGAAGATGCAGAGGGGAAAACACCATGTGAAGGGAGGCGTCTTGAGGGAGGGAAGATACAGAGGGGAAATAATATGTGAATAGAATGAGGGAATTATATGAATAATAATTACTTTCCCACTACTACCATGGCAAATCTCTGTGGGAATTCTCTTTCTATAATTATAAGAATTATTTAAAGCTTTAAAAATATCCGTTCACACTGAGTCTATGGAAATATGTAAAAAAAGTTTTTTATTTATTGTTTAAGTTCCCATTGTCTTCACTGGGAAATTCTTTCAATTATATATGATTATTTTTTTAATAACGTTTCGCACAGAATTAGAGGGAACTAATTTACCGCGCATTTTTGCGCCAAAATGTTCCCACCAATAGTCACTGGCAAATGCTATTGTTAAAGAAATTTTAATTTTCCCACTGTATTTTGGTGGGAATTGACACTAAAAAAATTCCGTGGGAAATGTCCGTGGGAAAATGATGTGTTTCTAGTAGTGAGTACAGGAAGCATATTTCTCATTGATGCATCATAAAGGTGGATATACAGAAAGCTTATGACTCTGTAGAATGGATATACTTAGAGCAGGTTCTTGAGGGACTAGCTTTCCCTGAGAAGTTTATAAAATGGATAATGGCTAGTGTGACAATAGTTAATTACTCTATCTTGTTAAATGGAGAATCAGCAGAGCCTTTTAATGCAGCTAAGGGCTTGAGGCAAGGAGACCCAATGTCACCATTCTTGTTTGCTATTGCTATGGAGTATCTGAGTCGACTACTCAAAGGTTTGAAGCAAGATAAACAATTCAAATACCACCCTCGATGTAGCAAGCTTGGTATCACTCACTTGTGTTTTGCGGATGACCTATTACTATTTGTCAGAGGTGACCTAGAATCAGTGCAGAGGCTCCATCACTGTTTCTGGACATTCTCATCTGCCTCAGGATTACATGCTAATTTGTCAAAGAGTGCAGTCTATTTTGGGGGCATAGATCCTATGCAAAAGGCAAGTGTCATGCAAGTTCTTGGTTACACTAGGGGACAATTACCTTTTAAGTACATAGGGGTTCCACTAGACACTAAAAAGCTATCCATTCTTCAGTGGCAGCCCCTCATTACTAAAATGGTAGCAAAAATAACATCTTGGACAGCAAAAAAATTGTCCTATGCTGGCAGAGCTCAGTTGGTCCAAACAGTATTTTTCGAAATACAATCTTATTGGGCTCAGTTGTTTACACTTCTAGTTAAGGTTGTCAAATTAATTGAGGCTTACTGTAGAAGCTACCTATGGTCTGGTGGAAATGTGCTTACAAAAAAATCATTGCTTGCTTGGGAAAAGGTATGTCTCCCTAAATCTGTAGGGGAACTTAATCTAACTAATCTGCAGGTGTGGAATAGTGCTGCAATTGTCAAGACCTACTGGGATGTAAATCATAAGCAAGATAAGTTGTGGATCAAATGGATCCATGCTTACTATGTTAAAAAGCAAAGGCTTGATGATATGAGTATCCCTCAGAGTGCAAGCTGGATGATCAGGAAGATCTTTGAAGCTAAACAAATAATCAATCAACTTCACAAACCACTGGATGAGCAAAAGAGTATAATTAAGCACATATATTTCAATTGATACCAATTCATTTAAGATGGATTAGAGATGCTTAATGTTCCGGAACAATTCTAGACCTAAAGCCATATTTACTGTGTGGCTATAAAACCATGAAAGATTGCTAACAAAAGATAGTCTGAAGAGATGGGGTCTCCATATGGATGAGACATGTGTGTTGTGCCAGGCTAATAAGGAAACAAGGGAACACCTATTTGCAGAATGTTCAAATGCCAACAGATTATGGAACGGGTTATCTCAATAGGCTCAAGTCCACTCCATTTCTCCCAACACTTGGATACAGTATTTCCAGCTCATCATTCATCACTCAAAGGGGAAGACAGCTTCAGCAACGCTACTTAAAATGATGTATGTTGAATACATACATGTGATATGGAGAGAAAGAAATACTCGAATATTTGAGGGTACAAGTAGAGAACATGAAGCACTGGCAAGGGAGGTTGTGAGCATGTGCTACTTTAGGGAAGATAAGAAAGTGAAGGGGCTGATACAGAATCTATACTTTTAAAAAAGAAGAAAAGTAGTCATAATGTTTTGTTGTTGTGCTTAGTTAGATAATACATGTATTGGGTTAGAAGGAACAGATAGTTTTAGGTCTTGGGTACTCCTTGCAGAGAATAGCTAGCTAGGAATGCTATGCTATGCTATGCTTTGTAATGTTTTCCTTGGTGATTAATAATAATTTTAATTACCAAAAAAAATAAAATATCTTTTTTACAAAAATTCTTGAATGTATAACTTCTTAATGATATTAAGACTTAGTTATAGATCTTAATAATTTATATCTATTCAGGCCCATTAATTAGTTGTACAATTGAAAAAAAACAGTCTTAATGGTTAAGATTTGGATGAATAAGAATCATATTTAAAAAACAAACACACTTAATGACTTATTTGAATGATTAAGATTCAGACATCCATTAAGTGCAAACAAATGAGGCCTTAGCCTTGTGCTTATGTCATCTACGTCACCTTATTCTTCTCTCTTATCCCTGCTTTCCAAAATGTGAACCCCACAGGTGGTTCCACTCCCCATCCATCACTACTCTTTCTATTCAAATGAGTCCACGCGCTTCTCTTTTAAGGAAAAAAGTGTCCACTCTAGTGTTTGTTTCCTTACAAATACACATTTATCTATCCAGGTAAAAAAAGGTAAAATACATAAACGGCACCTTTAAGTTGTCCTCAACGATCAGACAAACACTTCAACTAAGCCTTTTTTATTTTAACCCTATTTACCCCTAAATGGATAATAATTAAATTTGTACGCGGTTTTAAGGATACATGTATTGATTCAATACAAATAGTCAAGAATTTTAGATAAACGAGTTAAAGCCAAAATGAATAATCAAACCAATTGTGATGCTACGGCTTGGCCAAAACTTAGGTTGAACAACAGCTTTGCCCTCGATCGGACCCTTGGTTCAAAACCAATTGTGAATGAAGAACAAATAATATAAGAACTTTGCAATAGCTAGAAAGTAGAAAAATAAATTTGTATTTCCTTGGTTTGCGTGTTAAATGTCTATCATCAAAGAAAAACTTTCCTTTTATATAGTAGGAGAGTTTCAACCCTAGTACAAGTCTAAAAAGGGTAAAAATCTTCCTTTCTCGTTAATTACTAATCCGTAACCGACATCGGGCGAGATTTATGCCGTGATATCCGGTTAGGTACGGATATCACGGCCCTCTGTTAGTCATGCATAACCGTTTGCCATATTTCTCGAGGTCTTAGAGTTTGTTTCGGGTCCGGGGAGCGTTGCTTTATCACGCCCGACGATGAGCACATTGTTCACCTTTCATGGGTCTCGGTACGAAAGGCTCCCAACCTCGACTTCAACTTCGTGTGTTCGTGCCCTTCTTCCGTCTTCTTCACCAGGGAATCAGGGTATGCATTGTCCCCGATTTTACCCGTATACAGATAGTCCCCTTATTTTTCGGAGAGTAGGTTCGCCGGGTCGTTGGGAAGCAAATAGATGAACCCCGGCTTCTTCCCTCGTACGTTATAACTAAGATGACAGGTAAATCGAAACGTCCTATCAGTCGTGTCGTTCTGACTTCGGACACGTGTCGGTCATCGGCTGACTGTCTTCGAATGTGAAACATCGCGCACTAATTGCATTTTCCCCTATAAAAACTTCGACCCTTTATACTTATTTCACTTTCCGATCCTAGCTTTTACCTTCGAATTTTCTAACGGCTTTTAACTTTTTCAAATCTCTATACCCTGCTTCTTGAGCCTTTATATTTTCATCTGTGACCTTCAAATCTTCATATTTTTTCTTGGATTTCCAACCCAGATCTCCATATCTTCATCCTACCTTCAAACCTTCATACTCTTTCTTCGAATCTTCATATTCTCCTCCAACTCTTCGTACTTCCCTTCAAATCTTCATATTTTCCTAGATCAAGATGGCTAAAACATCCAAGTCATTGCCTTAGTAGGCGGCCCCCTCATCTTCCCACCCGGCCATAAATGTTGAGGTGGCTGCTCCCGAGGTGGCTCCAGATCCCCCTATGAAGAGCTTCATACCCGAGGGCTGCTCTATCGGGGATGACTTCAAGGTCGAGAAGGCCTCTAGCTAACAAGACCGAGGCGAGGGAGCATGGTGATACATATGCTCTGTCACCGAATAAACCCTACCCATAGTTCGAGTGGACTGTAAGTGGGAGGGTAAGGACGTGGTCGTCCTCGGGCCAAATGATGATATAACTACTCACGTGAAGGGGTATTTGATTGTTTACACTTACCCCTTCACGCTCTCCCCTGTGGATCCTGTAGTTCTTGCTTTCTGCAAGAGGTACGAGGTGTGCCTTGGGCAAATCCACCCATCCTTCTAGAGGATTTCGATCCCCGTGCACCATTTCGTGAACAACACCGAGTCTGCTCGGGTCACCCTCGACCACCTACTCCGACTATACAGTCCCTGAATCTTGCAAGGGGAACTGATCAAGGTCGTTTGCCAAGCAAGTAAGGCTCCTTTCTCGAGCATTGACGAGTATGGGGACCGAGGTTGGCAAGGAAGATTCGTTCGGGTGAAAATTGAAGACCTCATTCCCTCCAAGTTTCTGTCATTCCCCTAGGAGTGGAACACATCCAGTAAGTATTATCTTTCTTGGGTATTTTTTCCCTTTTATTTCTTTTTCTCATCGCTTGTGTTTGGGGTCGTGAAGCTGTTGCCCAAGTTCCAGATGCACTTCCCTGATTCAAGGAGTGGATCGAAGGGATTTGTAAGAAGTTTCTGTACTCCGAGCATGCATGGCACAAACTTTCGGGCAAATGGGAGGCCCGCTCTCATTGTGAGGTCCTTCCCTGAAATAATTACCATCACGCTCTTAACTCATATAGTGCTAATATTTTTTTCCTTACAGGTCTGCCTAAGACCATCAAACTTAGGCCGCTTGATGAGGACGAGGATCCGTCTTTGCCTGCCGAGTCCTCCGTCTCGGGACAAACAGGGCTATCGCGA